GGTTTAAGTAACTCAAACTGAGGCTGAGTTGGTGGTCTCTAAATGTTGTAATATATACTTTGTGTTGAAGTACGTATTACATTTCATTGTGCACTCACCAGTGCTCAAAATCTAACGACTTGAAAGAGTCTTCATCATTAATGTGAATCAGAAAAGAGCAAGCTAAGTGACATAGTAGATGTTAAATTTAATAAACTTTCTCTGAAGATCTGAATTCAAACATTTAAAATCAAAGGAAGGAGGTTTGCTGACAGGAAATGTGTATTGCAGTGAAAGAAGGTTAAACTTTTTTTGTACCTCTTGCTTGGAACCACAAAGGATGAATATTCAGGCAAAAGGTTGAATTAAAAATTGTCTTTGTACTGTTTCAGGCTGAGGAGGCTTTTTGCAATTAAACACAACTACCTTGTGTTTAAGCCTGATGTTTCTAGTTCCTGGAGAAACAAGGCTCCTTTTTAAAGCATAAATATAATTTTTACAGCTGTTCAATTTTCAGTCTCAATGTTGGAGTGAAGTGTTATGGGGCATAGATATGAACAGAAAATCATCAAAGATTTAGACCCTTAATATCACTGATCTTTCTTGATGAGATCAGAATCTTATCTGATCAGCATTCAGAAAACAAACTGAGTTAGATAAATACCTTTCAAATGACCCTTTCAGAAGCTTGGATTTTCCAGAAAATACATGCAGCCACTTCAGCCCAGAGAAATTAGGTGTTAGCCTCTTTCAAAAATGAGGACATCTAGATGATGGTGACTGCTGAGGACTCTTAAGTTAGTGACAGAACCAGAGATTAAACCTGTGAGTATCATTAAGTATGAGAGCATCTCTTACATTCAATATTATTTTTTGAGGCAAAGTTCTGTTCTTTCTTCTCTGCTTGTTCTTTTCTGTTTTACATTTGTACCTTGCTGGAATGTTTAGTCCTCACAGTCTTTCTCCTGATTTTCCTTGACACTCTAGAGGTCTTATCTGCCCTGTGCCATTGCCGTGTCCTAGAAAATAATGTTCTGCTCATTCAGAAGAACGAATTTTAACCTATTCTGCATCACCAAGCAATTAAAATTTTTTTGTATCCAATCTCATCACATACAGCTTTGCCTATTTACAAATTTATGTTGATATTTCTTTTTAAGTTGCTACCTAAATAATAGAGTTCAAATGTGTAGTATATCCAAAGAGGTAAGTACGTAATTGTTTTGGCAACTCCTCTTTGGCTTGAGGATACCCAATAATTTGGAAAAATGCTAGCATAGCTGTCATTTATTCCCTGAAAATCTGTGATTATTGTACCACATAGAGTATCTTTTATTTCAATGCAGTACTAAGAAATAGGTCTATTTATTCGAGGCTATACAGAGTTTGAAATTTGATTTGCAACTAAAAACTTCCCTTCCACTCAAAAAAAACCCAAAAAACACTAGAATACTTGGTCTTTGCTAAACAGCATTAAATTTTTAACTGTTCAAACCATTGACAAGAAAATTTACTAACATGAGTCATGTTTTTAATTGCCTCGAAGATTTCTGTGTGCCACTTGCAAATTTTAGTTAAAATGTCTTCCCCAAAAGAAACATCAGAGAACTGACAATTCTAATCCTGGCTGTGACAACGAAATTATGAAAGTTAAACTGGCAAAAAACCCAAGAAAAATGATGGTGAAATGCTTTCCTTTTTTCTGTACTTAAGGATACAATATATATTGAAGCTTTTTGTTAATGACTTTTATGTAAAAAGCAATTTCACTGGCCAGAGTACTGTTTTAGTATTTATACTGTGTCAGCACTTCAGATTAAGCACTGTAAAGGCTTGTAAACCTCCCAAAATACTGGCTTAAACTGTCACATAAAAGATTTGCTTAGAAACAAATCCTTATTCCGTTTATAGCATTAAAAAAATAATTCTATATATTTGCATTAGGAGGTGTAAAAAAAAAAAAAAAATCACTCTTGTGCCTCTTCTTTAGTAATAGGTTTGTGTCCTTTGACTTTATATGAAAAGTTTTCTCTTTATTTTTTTTTTTATTTTAATTTTTTTTCATGGTTCTTATTGGAAGTTTTGGTAAGAGAAACAGTTGAAATTATCAGCTGAGTGCATCTTCAGCCAGGCTGGTTAATACTTACTGAGATTCTGTCTTATATGTGATAGAACAAAGCAATCATTTTTAGTGAATTCGTTGAAGAAACATACATTCTTGATTTTTAACTTCGTTCACTAAGTGGGGATTCTAGAAAAATGTTACACAATGCCACACTTGTATTCCACTTTTCACAGTTTTATTCTCATTTGTAAGACACTTCTTGCAGTGTTTACGAACATTTTAAATTTGCAGGGGACAAAAATAATAAACTAACAAAACTCTGAGTGATGAAGACCTCACTTTTGAAGTTTCTTTCATTGTCTCATTAGTTTTCTTCATAACACTTTGAACTGAGGCTACAATACTTGTAACATTTCCACTCTTCAGAGTCCATGGGTGCTTGTTTACCTAGGGTGCTTTTTAAAATGAAAATATAATTCCAGATTCACTTTTTCTCTTGCAATAAATCTGGCTGGAAAGGTATTTAAGTTTCACTCAATACAGTCAGTTTGCAAAAATCTGGTTTCTGTTTAGTTTCCTGTTTGTGATGTATGTCTGGACCTGTATACAGTAGGATAACTTTTCATTTTGAGGCACGGCCACCAACATTGCAGCAATGGATACTGGCTTCTTGTAGCAGGGCTGAGGAATGGATTTTGAAATCTCCCCCTACTGTCAAATCCCTTCCTGCCTCCCTCCCCCACAGAAGTCAGATTTTATTTTAAAATCCATTTTGACACACCATTCTGCTGGGAAGGATTGCAAGAAAGAAATACTTAACAGCTTCTTTGGCCTCCTTTAAAATCTCCTTACCCTGTATAGCTCGAAAGAGATAGGGAAATCTTAATCTGTTTATCAGCGTGCATCTCCAAAATCCTGTAAGTTAATGCGTGCAGAGAATGATTTTCCTGAAGAGATAAATGTAATAACTGTAATTAGTTCTTGTTGTCTCTGCTATAACTTAAAGGTGTTCAAAAGCCTCACAGTGATCTTTTGTTTGAACTTCAAACATGGGTTTGGTCCAGGGAATGACCGGGGCGATACCCATATTCCCTTACTCTTGAGAAACCCTACCCCTGTGAGAGAGGCTTTTGCTTTGAAATTCTCTTGGAGTTTAGGAAAAAAAATGTCTTGGATAGCCATTATGCAGATAAACAAGGGATATTTAAAACAGGATGATGTCGTTAATTTAAAAATATGTAAATCTCCACATTGAATTGCAATATTTTCAAACATCCAAGGAATACTTTACTATACTCACTTGTTCCGCTACTGTTCTAGCAGTACAGGCTACAGTACGTCCTTTTTTTTTTTTTTTCCCCTCTAGAAATTGAATGAGGTTCTTTTACTTCTGTGTTGTATTGTGTCCAGGTTTTAATGTCAGTCATAGGAGCCTTTTAGCAGTGTTAATCACTGTTTCTGACTAAACATTTGGACTTGGAGATTTAAAAGACAAGAGATTCCATTTACCCGGTGCAGGTTGCAGCATTTGTTAAAGTATTTTTAAATTCAGGTAGACAGACCCAAGCACACAGGATTGTAGAGGGGAAAAAAAAATTTTGGGTCTTAATTAAAGGTTATTAAATATTATGGTTTGACTGCAGCAACCTTGTTGACTAGTGGACAGAATGAAATAAAAAAATGAAAAACCAACAACACCCAAAAAAAAAAAAAAAGCCAAACCAAACAAAAAAAACCCCAACCCTCCTGTGATTGCTAGGTTTATTTGGATTCTGCATAGCATAGCTAAAAATTTACTGAAGAGCTCTTTCTGGCAAGGGATTTAAAAAAAAAAAAAAAAAAAAAAAAATCCATATGATGTAAATGCTTTACCGGAATGTTTCTTTGAACTTACTCCCAGAGAAATATAAGTTTTATTTAGACATGATTTCTACAATTGCAAGAAAAACATGACCACCAAAAAGAAACCAAAAATAATTGAAATTGTGATTCTTATATAGTTGAAATAATGTAAGGATGCTATGTATTGCTTACATCAGTAAAGTACTAAATAATTGTAAATATACAAATAAATATACAATCTGCAACATATAAAAATACAAATATATCTACAAAACATATGTATTTACAAAAGTACAATAAAATTAAATATACAAAAATAGCAGGTTATAACATTTGAAATATCCCTTAAATAGTCTGTGAAGCTAGAGGAAGACCTGCTGAATCGGAGAAAAACTACAGTACAAAATTTACAAAGAACAACTGCACAGGCCAAGTATTTAGAGGCACTGGGATGATGTCTTCTGTCTGTGTTCAACTTTTGATCCTGTCTAATCTTGCAACACCAATTGGGTAAAAATTAGCACCTTGTGGATAGAGATTCTTTTGAGGAGCAATTTGTTTTGCAGGAAGAGGAAATGGATTAATTGGTGATGCTTTTCCTTAAAAGTCACAATTAAAACATTTCCCAAATGGTGAAGGATTGCTGTCTCTCATCATAGGTTACTTGGTATGAGCTGTCTCACTTCGCGTCTTATAGCCAATGTAAACATACCAAAATCATATGCTAGGGACATAATAGCTAGGTGACTACTTCCAAAGCTTGAGCATTTAGGGTTATTTAAAACTATTACTTTTACAAGGTTTTTTGTTACTCATTTTGTAGAGTCCATAAGCTTTTCTTCTCATTCTGACTCGTCTAGTTATATCTGCCAGATACATAAAGAACTTGATAAGTGGGAGGAAAGAAACTCATCCTGCACAGAATGTATAGCGTACGGGCACCTTTTGAACTCTCTTTGAGGCTTGAGGTAGAAGCCTTGGACTTTAGAGGAGGGGAAATGTCTTCCACAATAAAATTTTTAAAGCGAATTGGTATGGGGGAGAAGTTCCTTCAAATTATTGTAGCTTTGTTTCAGTCTTGAGTAGTTTTTAAATGGTGTATATTTTCTTTCAGAAAACTGAGATGTGGGAGAGTGAGAAGACTGAGGAAGACATGGAAGAGTATATCTGGGAAAATAGCTGCTCTCAGAAAAATGCCTTGGATACACTACTTCGAATAAAAGCCTCAGAGAATGTCAGTAATGTAACTAAGGAAGAGCTTCTTGCATCTGAAGTGGTTAAGAATTACAGAAACTCTGTAATTGCACTTAAAAATGAAGGTGAAACAGAAGGTAACATGTCTCAGTATAAGGAATCAGTAAAGAAACTATTGAATATACAAGCACTACCGTGAGAGCAGACTCTGCAGGTACATCTGATTATTATGGAAATATTAAAATACTATGTTAATACTTCTATATGAGATGGATATATAATTATTCAGAACCTTAACCAAAAATACGAAACTTGATGATGAGTTAATAGTAATCAGATTTTTCTTTACTGCTGGGTTTTCTTGTAAACATAATTTTCCTGTCCATGCATCGTATTCTTTGAATAAAGTATGTTTTGAGTCATATTGGTTCTATTCTGTGCTTTCTTAGCTTGGGAGATCCTGGTTCAGTTCTCTGCTTAATGACATTCTGACTTCTCACACAACTTCTGTTGGTATATAACTTAGAGCAACAATGTCAAAAACAATGAAATGACCTAGGGTCCCAGTTCCATTAATTCAGAGTCTGAAAGTTAAGAGCTCTAAACTTTCTGAATGCTTTTCAAATGTCACTCAGATTTTTCTCTGTACTCCCTATCTGTAAAACAAAGATAATGTTGCCTAAGTAGTTTAACTTTCAGAGAGGTGTTGAAGCACACTGAGCAGTGTGAGGTTCTCAGTCGTCATCATGAGGGCTAACAAATACCCTAAGTAAAAATACCTGTCTCTAAAATGATGGAATAAAATAAGGTAGAAAACGGGATGGTAGTGGGAAGGTGAACTAGGAGTTATTTACAGGATGCCAAAGTACATGGGAAAGAAGAACGATGAGAGTTGCTGAAAGTGAGAGCTGGTGAGTAGTGAGGTGAGTATATAGCTTAAATAGGAATGGACTGAGTCTTGGTACCCTGAGGCCTGTGGAGTTGTCTCTTGAATGTACCCAGGCTCTTCAAGGGAAAAAAAAAAAGTTTGTAGCATCCAGCTTACTGCTGTGAAGCACAGAGAAAGAAATTATGCGGATGTTTATCTTATTTGTATTTGAAAGGAATTGATTTGAAACACTGGAATCACAGGCAACTTTTATTGCCTTCTCATGGTTAAGAAAAAAAAAAAACCCTTAAAAATATCAGCTGGAAAGGACATAAATAACTCTATTCTTGCTTTTATTGTACCTTCCTGGCTTACTAAAATTTCATCTTAGAGCGAATGTCCTCATTTTCTGGAAGGGGCAGAGGGAGTTTTTATTCATCAGACTTAAGGATTCTGCATACCTATAAAAGAACCTAGCATGTGACCCTGCCAGCAACTCATTGAGAGGAAACAGCGTAAGAGTAAGGACATTGAAAACTGATGAGGAATTGATTTCTGCAGAGTGTTGTATGTGGCTCAGCTCACTCACTGCTAGGATTTCTCATTGTTTGTTTTGTGTTTACATACAGCTAAAGAGTGTATGTATTCGCATTTCCAAACCATTGTCAGTTTTGGAAGGATTCTTCTTAGGTAGCGATTGTTTTCATATGGCAAGAGACTGAGTTTAATGCAGCTTTTTACTCCCTGTGAGAATTTGCCACAGCTGCAGCTAAGGTTGAAAATGCTTGTCCTGTAATCCAAATTTTGCACTTACCAGCTTGGTTATTTAGTGGTCCTTCCTCTTAGATTTGTATTAATGTGAAGTTTTAGCAGAAGCTTAATATGGGGAAAGTTTTGGCTGTTATCAGGTTGTTCCTTTATTCAGGGATAATGGGGGTAATGTTTAAAATTCTCATTTGAAATAGTACCTCTGTGTAATTCCTAATCCTTTTTGAACAGCCATGAAACCAAAATTGCTGAGGAAGTAACTGCAGTTTGACTCAGAGAATGGTATGGATGGTGGAGTTGTGCCTGGCTTTATTCCAAAGGCGGTTTGGTTCTAGTATGTACACAAGCGAAATTTGTTTCCTTAATTAGCTTTGTCGGTGCTTGCGTAAGGACTGGCGTACTAGCAAGGATATGTAACTAACTTCTGTTTTGCAGTGGCATGTCTTGTAGCAGACTTTTTGAGTAATGCCCTTAAATGTTTTAAAAAACCTAAAACCCCATAAGCTTGCTTTTCTCCATACAGTTGTCTTTTTGTACTCGGGACATATGACCACCTGATAAAATCGTCTCTGCAACAGAGGACAATTCAATTTTCCTTTGCTCTTCGTAGACTTTAAATGACTGTCCTGGTTTCGGCAGGGATAGAGTTAATTTCCTTCCTAGTAGCTGGTACAGTGCTGTGTTTGGGATTTAGGATGAGAACAAAGTTGATAACGCACCGATGTTTTAGTTGTTGCTAGGTAGTGCTTACACTAGCCAAGGACTTTTTAGTTTTCCATGCTCTACCGACTGAGAAGGCTGGAGGTGCACAAGGAGCTGGGAGGGGGCACAGCCAAACTGGCCAAAGGGACATTCCACACCATGTGACGTCATGCTCAGTACATAAACTGGGGGAAGCTGGCCGGGGGGGGCCGCTGCTCGGGGACTGGCTGTGCATCGGTCGGCGGGTGGTGAGCAATTGTACTGTGCATCACTTGCTTTGTGTATTATTATTATTATCATATTATTATCATTTTATTTCAATTATTAAACTGTTTTTACCTCAACCCACGAGTTTTTCTCACTTGTGCTTTTCCAATTCTCTCCCCCATCCCACCGGGTGGGGGGGAGTGAGCGAGCGGCTGCGTGGTGCTTAGCTGCCGACTGAGGTTAAACCACGACAATGACCTAAGCAGAACTCAGTGAAAGTTGTTAAAATAACAGTTTGGCTTTACTAATAATAATGGCTGGTAGAAAGAACAGCACGGCAAGGGAAATTGATTTTTTCATTTTATTACATAAGCATTTCATTAGCTTCACAGCTAATTCATGGAAAAATCTAAAATGCACAGGCTTCCAGAGTTCCCTCTGAAGTGTTCTAGCCTAGCTTATATACATTCTATAAATGTTTCAAGAAATACAGGCAGGATAAAAGGTGGCTGTCTCCTGAGTACCAGGACACTCAAATGTCTCTACCAACAATAGATTATACCTACTGGCCAAGAACAATGTTGGGACTAATTCACTGTGGTCCCTAACCACATCCAACACTTCCATCAGAAATTAATTGTCAAAGATAACAGTCTTCCAGTAGTATCTGGGTTAATGACCCTATGGCTATACAACACTTGGCCGGCTGGCCTTAGAAATCTGCAAGATTGACCTCCAACCTTGGTTTTCAATGTTGTCTTCAATTCCTCTTGTTGCTAAGAAACACAGGAGAAAAATTAAACACCTTTATAAACCTGTAAGTGCCCAATCAAGCTGCTAGAATCAAAGGCAATATAAAATTCAGAGTTACAGTTGTGATTCTTACTAATGGTTTATATGTTACAGTACAGAACTTGTATAATGCAGTGGACTGGATCAAAGGTAGCCTGGATTATATTTTGAGCTCTTTGTCATCTTGGATGTTTCTTTTTCTATTTTTCTGCTGCTCCCTCCAAACTGTTTGTGTTTGAGGGTGGCAGTATTTCTCTGTGATTATGTAGAATACCTAGAACACTGCGATCTTAACTTCAGTGGGAGTCTTCCCAATCTTGATGATGTATAATATAGCACATGTTTTTGTGAACTGAACTACACATCTTTATTTTCCTATATAATACTCTTGCAGACCATCTCGTTGGAAACCTGTGCTGAAGTTTAGAAACTCTGAAGAGTTAAAGAGTAATAGACTTACAGCTTAAGCAGCTCTACAGCACAGTAATAAGTACATCCTTAGCAATGGTCACTTATTAATGTAGCATGTACATTATAATGTAAATGCATGACTCTAAGGTGTGTATCCCTCTATACATATCTGTGTGTATGTACATTCTTCTGTTACATGGAAGTGCTCGTGTTACTTTTAAATAGAAATGTAGATAGATAACACTTAAATCAAGAAGCAGGCTAGGCCCCCCAGTGCATAAATTCGGAAGGAAAGGAAGCAAGCACACACAGTATCTAGAGGCATTGGCTGTCTCCATAGGTAATTCTTTTACTGGTATTTACTGGCCAAGAGGAACATGGAGCTAGTTTATGACAGCCCTGACCTCAGGCAACCCTGTCCATTATAGATTGGAACTTGAGCAGGAAGGCTACTATATGTGCTTCTTTGCAGTCACTGTTCTAACCTCCAAGCAGCAGATGTCTCATTTCAAATCCAAACACTTGCCCCCACAAACTGGAAAAGTAACTTCCTTACGGCAAGGAAAAATTAGCTGTCTCCAATGGAAAAAAAATTCACACGAATTAAGTTCTTGGCCATCTGGAATAGTTGTGATGCATAGTTTCGCTGGTGCTGTTGAGGAGACTAACCTTTCTTTTATCTCCCATATAAACATTCCAAAGAAAGGTTGAGATCCAGCGTTTGGTCAAACTGGAAAAGAACTTGCTTTGTCAGTATTCTGGCTAATTTTTTGCATCTAGAAACTACTGTAATCACTGGCATAAGATGTCTTTAGTAAACAGTGTGCTAAGAGTTGTGAAGTGAAATGTTCAAAGTGTTGCTAAATAGTTTCTTGAGGTTGTTTGTCTGTGTTCTATGGCACTTTTGCCCTTTAAAGAAGGGCTGTTGGACACTAAGCGTAATCTCTTGCTCAGATTAGACAAGAAGGCCTGTACAGAGACATAATTCAGTCTTTGGCAAGGAGAGTAGATGTTACAACTAGTTGTAGCTTCACCAAGCCCTAAGACCTGAATGTGACTGGCTGTGTGTGAAGAGGTGGTAAACCCCTACAGTTATCTCATGGTCTTCAGGGAACTAATTTATACTCCTGACTGGAGTTGATGCTTTTTGCCCTGTTTTCATGCATAGCATTGCTACAAGCACAAGTAAGGGATAAAGGGACAGTTGCCTAAAAAGGGATGTCTGGGCAAACCATCTTTCTACCCATTTCTTGTTTTCCGTCATGCTTAAAATGTATGTATTTATTTTCTTGTGACTCTCCTAGTCTGTAATAAAATAGTTCTGCTACTGTGCTTTACACAACCTTTTTCCTGCCTATTTTTTTCTCTATATGCCAACAAATCAAGAATACTCTGCAGAACATGACCTTATATATTCTAGTCATTCCATCCTGCCCCAGAAGTGTTTGTGCATTGGGACATACAGATTTCCACTTCTCTCTCATTTGCTTTTTCTGGTGAGTATTGGGTCTTAGTTTCATTATATGATTTTACACAACTTAAGGGTGAGTATCACAGGAGCATCAAGGTGCTGTGAAGTGCATTGTACAGTCACTAGTCTGAAGATGAAAAGAAATCACGGACACCAAGGATGACTGTGACTTGCTGCAGATCACACAGCTGATCTAGATCAGGT